CACAGACTGCCACCTGTGAGCAGCATAAATTAGAAACTGGGGGTCAGAACCAAAGCAGTCCCAACCATAAAAGGAGTGTCCATCCAGTCTGAGAGAGAGCTATTGCAAGGGCCCAATTGTGTTGTGGCATAAGGTTCTAAGAGCCCTTGGAGGAGAAGGCCCAGACTCTCCCTGGAAGATTGCCTCACTTGTGGTGCAGAGCAGGGGGTGAGATGTCCACCAGAGGGGCAGCAGTAGGGGCACACAGGGTAAAGTTCACCTGTATCCATCCTACCACCCTCAGGGGCTGTAGATAGGAGGCAGCTCTGCAGTCAGAACACAGGTGGGAAAGTCAAGGTAGAAGCCCACATACGTGCGTAAGCCCAAGATTAAGCAATAGATTGTCAGTTGCCTGGAGTCTGAACACACGCTATGTCTGACGTGAGAAGCAGTCAAAAGTATTATATTACCACCATTCTGGCAGTCCAGTCATGCAGCATCTACCAAAAAGTACACTGTGAAGGTGAGCTGAAAGGTCCATGCATCATGATCACTTCTCAGATATGAGTCCCCATAAGCATAAGAGTGCCTTGTGACATCTTATTGATCTCACTTGTTGGTAGAACTGGGGATGATGGTGGGAATAGCTCCCAGACAAGGAGGTACAAGACCAGAGTCCAGAGAACCCTGCCCAGATCCACCTCTGCCACCCCTGCCACCTCCGGGCACTGGAAGGAGATTTAGAAGATTTCTATAAAGGAGCTTTCAAATCCAGGACACACATGGGACATGGCCCAGGGCCAGAGTACACCACTGGTCTCTCAGGGCACTGGACCGGGACTTAGAAAGTTTTGAGGAAAGCACTTCAGAGCTGGGCCTTGTTGCCTGGGCCTAAAGGTGGTACTGAAGTTATCAGCACTCGGCATATTTTGGGGTATTTTTTTTTCTTTCTCAGTACATATTTTATGTTAGTCTCTTTAGATGAGGTAATTTCAAGGGTGGAAGAAAGTTCCACTCTCGTTCACACAACAGACCAAGAAAATACTGAACCTGTTAAACAACCAAGCCATCTTAAATCCTTTCTAGATTAAGATGGGTGTTATTAAATTAATCTGTTTCCTTGCCATAATTAACTCTATTTCTATGGATTCAACAGGGAGCTCTGGTAGCATAGTGCCTAAGGCATTTGACTGCTAACCAGAAGGATGGTGGTTCAAACCCACCAGGCACTCCTCGGAAGGAAGATTGGGCAACTGCCTCGGAAACCCAAGGAGGGGTCACTATGAGTTGGATCTGACTCAATAGCAGTGAATTTGCTTTGGTTTTTTATGGACTCAACTGGGGTACTGGTAAATACAGAGGGTGAGATTGGCTCAGGTAAATCAGGGTGCGTTGGAGGCATCTATTCTTTGTAACACTGATGAATGTAGTGTGGAGAATTTCTATTGTTCCTTCCATTCTCTGGAATACTGGAGTACTGTTTGGGGAGTGTTCTTCTGACACTCTCATTAAGTAATTACCTCTCAAGGATTCTGGCTAGGGCAACAAGATCACATGAAAAGTCATGATGTATTACAGTAATTCAGCAGTCAAAATTTGACTTTTTTTCTTTTTGAAGATAGATATCAATCTTCTATTCACACATTGATTGACTACATGGTCCAACCTGCCTGGATTATTGCAACAGATTTCTAAATGTTCTCTTGGCAACCTCTCATCCTTCTTCCCTCATGTGTCAGATAATTCTAAAATGCAAATCTAATCATGTTACTCCCACTTGTCTTTTTAAGGTCTTGCATTGCCCTTCATATCCTTTCATTGGCATTCCCCACACTTTCTCTTGCCCACAGGTCTTCACACATGTTTGCTCTACAGGAAACATTCTAGCACTCTCTTATCTCTGTTGACCTGTCTAATTTATACTTGCTTTTGTACCTCAATTTAAATTTTACTTCCTCTTAGAAGCTACCCAGATACTCCTAGATTAGTCTGCTCTACTACCAAACAATCACATTTTATTGTTTTTGCTTTTTTATTAGCCACTCTTTCTCACCAAATGCAAATCTGATGAGAGTAGGTACTGTGTCTATCCTGCTCACCATCATAACTTTGTCTAGAGCATAGTGGGTACTTAACAGATATTTCTTGATAAATAAATTATAAACTTTTTACAACTTCATGAAGTAAGCAATATATCAGCATCATTTTATAGATAAGTAAAACAGTTGGACTTTACATGTTGAACAACAGTTTAGCAGATGTCTAAGCTTTAACTTTCTCCTTCGGAATCTCAAGAAGAAAAAGAAATTGTGTGTTGAAGCTTTAGTGTTTTTCATAACTATCATCTTGGTAGTCACTTACATAAAATTTGGCATGAATATGGATAAATGCATATGAAATATTCAGAGTTATCTGTATCTTTAGTATGATGGTCGTTTTACCATCCCAGTTATCATCACCCAATATGTGCTTCAACTCAAGTCAAGAATGTTTCTTTGTGACTTGATGTCTAGGTTCAGAGTCAGAAATTTTTAAGTATACTTGTCTAGGCCAGAAGAAGTCTCCAGACCATGCTTTCTCTGGTATGAAAATAGCAACACAGACCTAATACATTCAACCTACCATGGCACCCCCTCCATCAAAGAAAAACAAACAATCTATTCAGCTTTGTTCTGGGCTCAGCAGCTCACATGGCATGAGCTTCGTGGCAAAACTTAGTTCAATAGCCATCCAATGTGGCTGCTCCTTTAATCAAACAATTCTTCATAATATAAATGTGTGTTTTGTTTTGTTTGTGGTTGAGAACAAACCGTCCAGTTAGAAAAAGATATGGATCACATTGCTCTACTGGTTCCCATCAAAACACCTTGGGGCAACAAATGTCTTTCATTCTCTTTCAGTTTCAATTGGTCTTAAAATCTTTATCCAGGTACCTAAGTGTCTATTCCAGAAAATTATATATGCAAATGTTAATGAAGTCATGAGATTCTTAGGAAAATCCTTCCAGGTCCTCACTAGTTTTGGGGTCCAACACTGTTAAGGGTACCAAGAATATCATACCAAAAAAAATCACTGCCATTGAATCAATTCTAACTCATAGTGATCCCCACTGGTTTTCCAAGGCAGTAAATCATTATGGAAGTAGATTGCCCCATATTCCTTCCATGGAGTGGCTGGTGGGTTTGAACCACTAACCTTCTGGTTAGCGGTCAAAGGCCTTAGGCACTGTACCACCAGAGCTCATTAAGAATATCATATTACACTAAAATTTTAAAGCAGTGTAGGCAATATCTGAACATTGCATTTTATAGAAAATAAGAGGAAAAGGAAGAACATTTGCATGTCTCAGTCTCTTACTATCCTTAAACTTCAATCTGACCATAAAAGAAAACCAAAGGACTCAAAGAGATAGTCACCCTTGACCCTAAAATAGTTAAGTAAACTAAGACAAAGAGGAAAACAAAGGGAGTCCAAAGGAAGAACAGATAAAAGGGCAGAGAAATAATATTGTGCTATACCCATGTTCAGCATCCCTGATAGGAATAATTGGGTGTTAACACTCAGGTGCGGCAGTGATAATCTGTCAGAATTAGAGAGATATGACAGATGGTTGGTGTAATCACCCCATAAGTTGTGGATAGTAAAGGTCAGAAGTGCTCATGCTGCTTCCTTGTTGGACTCTTAGATATTTTGTAAGCATTCTCTCCTTGCCTTTGCTTATGATGTTTCCTGAAAAGTTTGCAAATCAATAAGCAAGGAACAAATTCCAGCTAGCAGACATGCTCTATTTGGTTTTCAGGGTGGGATTTATTTATTTAAATAAAATCCTATTCCTATCTTCTCTTAAGAAATTAGAGGGTCTGAAAATACTGATCTCCATATTCCTGGATGACAACAATCAGTGGGAGCTGAGTAGTAGCCCTCCTTTCCATGGGTCCTGTGTTTGCCACAGTTGTTTTCACTTTCTATTTTCTTACACCAGTCCCCTTTATTCATCTACATCATGAGCCTGTCTCCTTTAGGGATAAGAACTTGTAATCCCCACTCCACAGAGACTGCCCCCCCATCTCTACCTATTAATTTTCTACCCGTCATTTATGGCACATCTTAAATGGCAACCTCTTTTCCCTTTTCCCAACAATCAAATGTACATAAGTTCTTCCTCTTTTGAATACCTGTAACATTTGATATACTCTTGTTTGTAGCATACACAGTATGTAGTAATACTATTTTTCTTATTTGTATTGTGCATATCTTATCCTCCTGACTGTAGTGTAAGATTTACAAGCTTACACATTCATTCATTCATTCATTCAACAGGAATGTATTAAGTACTAGATGCCACACACTAGGATATGATACTGCAACAAATAAAAGAAACAGAGTACAGTCGCTCAAGGAGACATAGAGAGCAGGAACTGTCAATTACTCATCTTTGCTTCCACTGCAGAGCCCAGGAGAGTGCCTAGCACTTAATAAATAGTTGACATTTGTGATATGAATTTAGAATCACACATTTACAAAGTGTCTTCTACTTGGCAACTCTACTAACCCAGATTATGTCATTCTATTAAATAAAAGTATTAGAGCTATATTTCTTCAAAAAGAAGTCTAATAATCAGAATTTTCATTAATGTATAAAACAAAAACCAAACCCACTGCCATTGAGTTGATTCCGACTCATAGTGACCCCCCTTGGGTTTCCAAGGCTGTAAGTCTTTAAGGAAGGTTGGGCAATCTACTTCCATAGTGATACTGCCTCAGAAACCCAAGGAGGGGTCGCTATGAGTCTGGTCTGACTTGACAGCAAACCACAACAACAACAAGTCTTTACAGAAGTAGATTGCCTCATCTTCCTCCTGTGGAGGAGCTGGTGGGTTTGAACCACTGACCTTCTGGTTAGTAGCCAAATGTCTTACTCACTGTGCCACCAGATATTTCTTCTTCCTTTCCAGTTACTCTGAATCACTAAGGTTTAATCCTGGTCAGATGTACTTTGATGATCCTCTAAATTTATTTACCTGGGTAACTGCTGAAAGAGAGACGATTACTTTTGGAGTCTTTATCTTTGATGTTGAAGTCCCAGTGTTTATATATCCTCAGCATGGCTGCATATGTGAACCAACTTGAGTGAGCAAAAAAGATATTCTCAAATCCAGGAAGAACCTATGGCCAGAAAAACAGTGGAAGATGCAGAGACAGAGAGATCACTGAGTACAATTTTAAGTGTTGGAAGCATACAGGGATTTCTGCAACTCAGTCCTTAAAACTTAAGTGATTATTGCTACATTTACAACAGGAAAACATGGCCAAGGAGTACAACATCAACTTTTACTGTACAAAAAACAGATAGACTCCATCCTTTTAAAGTCCATAATGGAAGATTCTGGGAGGTGGAAATGCCAGGTGCATAAAAGAAAATGTAGAAGAAGCACAGGTGACCTCATATACTTCCAATTTCCTCTATGAAGGGTTCTTCCAGTTATTAACTTCTATGATATAGGAACCCAGGAGCAGGCAAACAGCTCTAGGTAGAGGTGATGAGATATTGCCATAACTTGGGTAACATACAGAAAGTGTCTGTGTGTACCAGAAAGAGAGAAAAAGAGGGGCTGCTGTGTGTAGCTTACCTTAATGAGAGCAGAGCAATGTCCCATTTCCACTCTTTTTAGAAACTTCAGGCTGTTGTTTTTACTGAGAGAGAATGAGGGAATCAGATCCAACAGATCTCCAACAGCATTCAGGAACTGAATCTGGAACAGCGTGAGGGGCTGGGAAAAAGGACAATGATTGCACTTAACATTGATTTGTGACAGATGTCATTTTCTATTTTTCCTCTGCTTCTTGTTGTTGTTAGATGCCATCGAGTCAACTCCAACTCATAGCAACCCTATGTACAACAGAATGAAACACTGCCCAATCCTGTGCCAGCCTCACAATCCTTGCTATACCTGAGTCTATCATTGTAGCCACTGTGTCAATCTATCTCATTGAGGGCCTTCCCCTTTTTCATTGACCCTCCACTTTACCAAGCACGATATCCTTCTCCAGGGAATAATCTCTTCTGACAACATGACCAAAGCAGGTGAAACAAAGTCTGGTCATTCTCACTTCCAAGCAGCATTCAGCTGCACTTCTTCCAGGACAGATTTGTTAGCTCTTCTTGCAGTCCATGGTACTTTCAGTACTCTTCACCAACACCACAACTCAACCTTTTGGTCAACTCTTCTTTGGTCTTTCTTGTTCATTGTCCAGCTCTCACATGTATATGAGGTGATTGAAAATACCATGGCTTGGGTTAGGTGCACCTTAGCCTTCAAGGAGACATCTCTGATCTTCAGCACTGTAGTAGCAGATTTGCCCAGTGCAATACGTTGTCTAATGTCTTAACTGCTGCTTCCATTGGTGCTGATTGTGGATCCAAGTAATAAGAAATCTTTAACATCTTCAATCTTTTCTCCATTTATTGTGATGCTGCTTATTGGTCCAGTTGTGAGGATTTTCATTTTCTTTATGTTGAGGTGTAATTCATACTGCAAACTGTAGTCTTCAGTCTTCATCAGTAACTGCTTCAAGCCATCCTCTTTGTGCAAGCAAAGTTGTGTCATCTGTGTATCCCAGGTTGTTAATGAGTCTTTCTCCAATCCTGATGGCAGTCTTCTTTATATAGTCCAGCTTCTTGGATTATTTGTTCAGCATACAGACTGAGTAAATATGGTGAAAGTACACAACCCTGGCACACTCCCTTCCTGATTTTAAACCATGCAGCTTCCCCTTGTTCTGTTCGAACAACAGCCTCCTGGTCTATGTACAGGTTCCTCAAGAGTAGAATCAAGTGTTCTGGAATTCCCATTCTTCTCAATGTTATCCATAATTTGTTATAATCCACACAATCAAATGCTTTTGCATAGTCAATGTAACATAAGTAAACATCTTTCTGGTATTCTTTGCTTTGAGTCAAGATCCATCTGGCATTAGCAATGATATCCCTTGTTCCACATCCTCTTCTGAATCCAGCTTTTATTTCTGGAAGCTCTCTGTCAATATACTGCTGCTGCAACTGCTTTTGAATTATGTTCAGCAAGATTTTATTTGCATGTTATATTGATGGTATTGTTTGATAATTTTCACATTCTGTGGGAAAACCTTTCTTTGCAATGGGTTAAATATGGATCTTTTCCAGTCAGTTGACCAGGTAGCTGTCTTCCAAATTTCTCTCATAGACAAGTAAGTACCTCAAGCGCAGATCTGTTTGTTGAAACACTTCAATGTATATCCCATCAATTCCTGGGGCCTTGTTTTTTGCCAGTTCTTTCAATATACTTTGACTTCTTCTTTCAATACCATTGGTTCTTGATCATATGTCACCTACTGAAATGGATGAACATAGACTAATTCTTTTTGGTACAGTGACTCTGTGTATTCTTTCCATCTTCTTTTGATGCCTCCTGTATCATTCAATATTTTTCCCATAGAATCTTTCAGTATTGCAACTTGAGGCTTGAATTTTTTCTTCAGTTCTTTCAGCTTGAGAAATGCTGAGTGTGTTCTTCCCTTTTGGATTTCTAACTCCAGGTCTTTGCACATTTCATTATAGAATTGGCTTTGTCTTCTTGAGCTGCTCTTTAAATCTTCTGTTCAGCTCTTTTATCTTGTCATTTCATTTTTTT